GCATGCTGTCGCCTTCTGCCGTGGTAGCTCACAACATGCCTAGAGATAAGAGGTGTTGCTGTGATACCGAACGACATGTTGTGGGTTCTCACTGCGGAAGGCGTTGCCTACCACAGCATGCTCTCTAATGCCTAGATAGAGGGAGAGAGAGAAATTGTTTCTGTGATACAGGTGTTCCTGTGGTTGCGCAGAGCTTGTTGAAGGATCCCACGGCAGAAGGTGTTGCTATTCCGCGGCATGCCATCGGCTCCTGTAGCGGTATCCTATAGAATGCTCTGGGATGCCAAAAAGTTGTTCCTGTGGCACCGCCGGAGCATGTTGTAGGTTCCCGCGGCATGGTATCCGATGCCGAGAGAGAGAAACCATTTCTGTGGTACCGAAGAACACTGTGGATTCTCGCGGCAGGAGACGTCGCTATCGCGGCATACCCCGGCAAAATACGTAGTCAGTTGAAGGCATGCCAACGGATGGTAGGAACTTTTTTGCGCTAACCATGAAAGCTGTCCGCAAAGTTTCTGGATATCCCTAATTCCTTAACGGTTTAGACAACCTGCTGAAATGCTAGACTTCGAAGAACATATACCTTTCACCAAACCTCAACAATCTAGCAGCCTCTATTCCATTTGCAATCAGGATTATATATAGTTGGCAGGACTCTTTCTTTGCTAGTAACAACGAATTCATAGTCTCGTTACTAGGAGACAATAAATCTTCATTTTCCTCAACATATATCTAGAAAAAATATATTTGCTGTGATGTTTCACTGTATCTTTGTTTTTCGCTATAAAGATAAACCTCACCATGATATATGAAACTGCTGTAGAGAACTTTTCAAACCATTGACTGTCGAAGATTTCGGCATAAACTGGATCCAGCAGAACTGCTATACATTTATAAGGTTCCAAAGCCTTCAGCATGATGTCTTGCAATAGAAGACCCAAAGTACCATCATCGTATTCATCATTGCTCATAAATGCACTAATGATTGGAAAAATAAGATCTGCTGAAATATGTCTCAAGAAAGGAGTGTACGTTGCATTAGAGGAAGGTGCTCTAAGCCGGATCCCTCCCCTAAAGTGGACCCCTGATCTCATTGGCTCTGCATTCTCTGAAACTCCATGATTGCCAAGTGTAAATGGCAATATATGTTAGTTATCTAGATGTTTGAAAGCATTTATACAAATATATTTTTTCAAATGGCAAGACCCTAGTTTTTGGTTCTAGTCGTCATTATTCTTTTGAAACCCATTTTCAAGGTCGAAAATAATAAAGAGAAAAGCTAATGAGGGAAAATGGCGTTCTTCGCGTTCTTCTAACATAGCTATAACGATTGGTACCTTCCAGAATAAGAAGGGATGGTAAATGAGAGGAAGCAGAAAAAGAAGTGTATGTCTGCAGTTTTAATCGCTAAGGAGATAAAAACTATGTATCTGTTTTATATTCTGGGTCCTTGTTCTTAATCGATAACTGACGTTTTTTACAAGTGATCCGTTATTTGGACCTAATTTCCAAATCCAGAGAAATTGAAATTATTTTTTATAATAGCTACTTCATTTTATTTTGAATCAATGACAAAATGTGGGTCTGATTTTGGGCAGTTTTCTCTATACATTTAAACATACCTATTCTGGCACAAAATCACTACAGAAAGTGAAACAAAAACTGTCATAGTCAAGTACATTTTTGGAATGAAGGCACATAGTAGCTACCATAACACTACTAAGAAAGGGAAAGGGTAATTGAACATAAATATTCAACAAAGTAATCAGGCTACATCGCAAGCAGTTTAACCTTTCAACAGTAATTGATTGTAGGAGACAGGAAGCAAATTAGAATTTAAACTTTTATAAATAAATATTTGGACGTAATTTGGGATCTAAAGAGCTGTTCATTTGGACAGGTCGGAGTTCAGATCACCGGAGGCCTGATCTGGTGAGAACACGTCAAAGTCGATATGGTTTTGGTTTAAAAAATAGAAACCGTTTTTCTGCATCATCATAACAATATCATTTATATGATAATATCACCATGCAGACATACAGATTTTATTTTTTACGTGAAAACCGTATAAATGAATACAGTTTTGATTTTTTTATTTTTGGAAAGGGTAATGTTTTTCGAATTCATTTATTTTAGAAAACTTTTCTAACCTATATTTAAAAGTTAAGACGTTTCGGACATACGGACGTTCCGAAGAACAGAATCAAACAAAGCTTTTCTGGGTACCATAGCCATTTGCAATATTCACAAATTTTGAACAGTCAGATTGACTGCTCGTATGCTTTATCGAAAATCAATATAAATGTACCGATAAGAGTGAATCCTGCATACTTCAATATACCGTTTTACTGAACTAATATTGGTGCCAGCTCTCCGCTGGTACGAATGCAAAGAAATCTAAATATGTGTGGTAAATTTCGTGATACTTTGTTTTACGAATTGTTAAAATTTAAATTTTTTTTTTAAATTTAAATACGAGTACTTGCTAAAAAACAGAACCCTCTAGTAATCTACAATCCCAGAAGTCGCAGTGAAGCCGGAAACGAGGGATAGGCCAAGTCTAACAGCTATCAGAAAAGTATAAAAATATCTAAGTCGTGTACTTATAATTATAGGTAATTTTTTTAATTCTGGGAAATCAAACTCAGAAATTGCAACTTTGTTAGACTTATCGCGGTACAGTGTGAGAAATATTGTTAAGGATATAACGTAACTGGTTCAGTTAATATTAAGCCACGATATGTGAAAAAAGTAACATCACAAATGCCGACCGAAGAGCATTAAGAAGAATAATCGTGAAAAACAGGCGTGCCAATTATTTACAATTAAGTGCTCTGTGGAGTGACGCTGTTGGAAGGAGAATTTCGAGGTCCACAACTCATAGTGAGGCCCACAAACTGGGATTTAGCACTTGCAAGGTAAGTTTTCTTATAAAAAAAAGTGAAGTAAAAACCCTAAAGTTGCACAACTTGTTTATAGGCCAAAGATAAGCCACTACTAACTCCACTGCAAAAGAAAAATCGGCTTAGATGGGTTAAAGAACATAGACAATGGACACCTCAACAATAGTGTGCAATAAAATGAAGCGATGAGGCCCGATTCGAAGTTTGTGTTGGTGACAGTCGCAGTAGAGTTATTCGCAAAAAAATGAAGCATTCCATGTTGACTGTCTGAAGAGAAAAGTGAAATTTCCAGCATCCATTATGGTCTGGGGCAGTATGTCATCAAAAGGAGTAGGAAAACTTCATTTTATTGATGGAAATGTGGATACAAACATATATTTGGCAATTTTAGAAGAATCGCATTTACCAGTGATGGGAGAATGTTTGGCTATAAAATGGATGGAAGAAAATAATGTACCACTTTTGAAATGGGTTTCTAGCAGTCCGAACTGACACAAAAGCTTCAAGAAATATGGGATTGTTTTACATCAAATTTTTGCAAAACTTTGTTAACACTATGCTCCAAAGAATTTCAGCCGTAATAAAAAATAAAGGTGATGTTATCCAATGGTAATCTTTCAATTGTTGCTTTGTTAACTTCGCGCATTTATTCGCACATTGTTTATTTGTTCAGATGTTCTATTAGTTATAGGTCTAAGTGATTTCAAATATGTATTTTTTACGACTAGAGTGTATCTAAAATGTTTTTGAGAACATAAATTGTTTTAGAAGTCAATAGTTTCGTCAGGTTTAGTTTATAAAGGCATATTTTGGTACAAATCTTGGAAGTGGGCCAACTGAAGTGGGAAGGGGCTCGTAGTGTTTTTAAGATGGCTCGTATAACAATATTCTTCCTAAATCACTTAAATGTACGAAAATACGTTATATTTTATTATACCTGTACATTACATTATACTGTTGATATACATATCTATATTTTATACATAAAATGTAGAAAGTGATTTAGTAATATTATTGTTATATGTTGTAGTGCAGTGCGGCCCGCCATAATGAGCGCGAGTCCTTAGAATATTTAGGTACTCAGTTACTTCTTGATATCATCAGCAAATTTTTTGTTAGGATTGGCCGCCCCTAATATCTGGCCCCCCTAGGCCCGGGCCTACAGGGAATATTGGCAAATCCGCCACTGTGAATATTACTCAATAAACTAGTAGTAATGGCCGGAAAACAGGAGTTTTGGGATAATCAATTAGAAATTCTCAAAAACTACTTGACCAATCTACTCCAATTTTGTTGTGGTTATTTAGAAGTACGAATCCTACGAATTTTGAGAATTTCAAATATCTGCGAGAAACCATCGTCACATTACCAACAAGTGCCAAAACCTGCATTTTGCCTCGGTTTTCGGCCATAACTTTTTTGCTATTAATCGGATCTGGTGATCTCATTTTGTAGGTCTCATAAATACCTAAAAATCTTATATGAAGAGTTTTTCCGTTCCTGCCGACACTTTCTATTCAATCTCAAAAAACACGTTTTTTCATCCTTTTGTTGTCGAATAAAGTTTTCCAACAAAAATTTGTGTACCAATTTTATGCGTCCAGGTTTTGAATACCCCCTTGAACAACTTGCAGCAATAAAACCAGACTTTACAATTATTTCGCAAACCAGGGGTGTTTTTGTCTATGATTAGACTATTGTCTGTTTTCTATTCAATAGACATTACCCGTTCTCGCACTGAACTTTCACTTACCTATCTCTGATGAAGAAATGAATCCTGTCGGTCTTTCGTGATTCGTGACAGCTTATCGTATAAAAAATACTAATAAAGGTAACAAGTCTTTATTCGGTACGGTATAACAGTTTTCTCATATATAAAAAATAACTTTTTAGACAAATATATGTAATATGTATACAAATTTACACAGAGACTGTAGATATATCAAAAAGTTCACAGGCGCCTTCCTTCTCGGACAGCCCAAATAGATAATCACGGTTCACTGGAACAGCATTCAACCTCAGAAATGGATCTAAAAAAAATACAGATACATAAGATATCAAAAAATATTTGCTTCTAAAGACTATCTATATTTTACTGTGGTTTTTAAATATGAAAATATTTGCTTCTACAGACCACCTATATTTTAATGTAGTTTTTAAATAACTCAAGGAGAGATTATTGTTGTGATGAGTGAGATTTTCGAATTGTTTATTGTCAGCCACAAGGAAAGAACATCAACTGAAGATGGTGGTTACAGCTACCTTTTGTATCCAAATTAGTCTATATCCGATTTTTGTTAATATGGCGGTCAGTCAGACTAGGACATAAATGGTAAAAACATTGCATGTCTCCTTACGTTCGTGAATATTATCTTCGCTAAAAACATCATGACAATTTCTCGGCGGCCTCTTGAACAATATCCCAGCTGCAATTACATCTGGATCGTCATCTAAGTGAGTCTTTTTTATTCTAACATCTTCAGGGTCTTTTACCGAAATCTAAAAAAAGTATAGAAAATACAATCGTGATTATTAAGGACCCTAAAAAATCTCAAATAAATTTTGTCCCCTAGATGATACAAATTTGATACACACTATCTGAAATACTCATTGTTCATTTGAAAACTTCCCACCACGGATTTATCTAAAACCACTGATTAGAAGAAAAAACTACTTCACCCTCGGCCCTCCAGGGTCATTCCCTTAAAAATTTTAAATGATAAGGGGAATCAAGTACTAGCTTGTTTGAAAGGTCTTTCGTGACGTTTGATTTTTTAAAATCATCCGATTCGTCTTCGAGAAAGTGTTCAAAATGTTGCCCATTAGGGTTTTCCAAATCTACAATTCTTCACTTACACTATCACTATAGAGTCGTTTTCTTGATAACCTAATACTATCTGTCTCTACATCGGGCTGGAGCACACTAGCTACTACTGGTGAAGAAGACTTCACTCCAAACCTGAAGCTGTTACCATCATTTTCATTCTAAAAATAATTATCCTGTTAGTGATAGCTCAATACTTAAATGCAACCGAATGTGGTTAATCAAAGATATGTATTTTTTCTATTTTGCCAAAATTGTATGATTCGGGCCATTGAGGTCAAGCTACTTAAATAACTGGCAACCATTTCGACTATATCGAGTAATATACAAGTAAGGAATTTGTGGTTAGAAAAAGTTTGAAATTCAAGCAGACATGTTTCTTTTGTTACTAAACTGAATCGTGTAATATTCCGCATAGGGCCCTAAAAGTTCAATATTTTTGTGGTAACAAAGGTTTTGATAATAACTGTATCTTTCCATCAAGTTATAAATCCCGCTTTTGCAAGTGCTCTCAACTTTATGGATACAAAAGTTATTCCTATAACCCGCAAGTAACTAACAAAAATCCGACCGCATGAATTCCGTCTATATAGGTTATTTCATGAATTATTACCTGAAATCGAAATTGACTGGTATGGAGTGAAGCATTAATAACTATTACTCGGTCCTCACTATCGTACAATTTTCGCAGATCCTCATTAGTGATATAGAGATATTTTTTAGTTTCTAGATCTTCTGTTGTATTGCGTATGCTTTGGTCTATCAAAAATTTATGTAAATCCAAATCATTCTCATATTCATTGAGCCTATGAAGTTCCTGCTTGAGCTCATCAACCTTGGTTGAGAATTCTTGGTTGTTTGGTAATTGCTTATTGCTGCTATAGGGCCTGAAATCAGATAAGCATTTTTCACAGTACTACTGTCATTTGGAATTATCGATGAGGCAATGAGGGAGTTATTGAGATCACAAGTTTTCACAAGAGTTTTTTTAAGTTCTGAGGTATATGAGCAAAGATTTGAATTGAAAACTTATATTGAATAATACTTCTTCTCATCTCTGATAATGATCAGAAATCCATTAAAGGTTCCAAAATATGCCATATGCGCCTCGTTTTTGGAGGAACACTGCAACAAAGTGCAGTGTCTCCACAGGATGAAATAATGAAACAGATGAGTCAGTAGGCACCTTGCAGGAGTACATATAGCTCTATTGTCACACATACACAAATAATGACTGAGTTTGGTAAACAATATAATATGTATAGGCAATGTGAAGCCATATTTTTGGAAATCAATGCAACACCAGTGAAATTATTAGCAAAAAGCAAAGAATCAGAAAGCATAAAGGAATTGGGAAAGTCAGGCCTCACTTTTCAATCTGTAATTATGTTTAAAAATTTTGCAAAGTCTCATTCTTTTGTTGATCTTCAAGTCCATAGGTCATCAGGTTGCACCTTCAAAATTTTTTCTGTAAACCTTTGAACATATACAGGTTGTTTTCAAAACATCAAAACAAAAATGCAAGTACAACAAAGATTACTTCATTTCATAGATATAAAGAGAGCAAGAATTTTAAAAAACATACTTTTTTGCAAAAATCACAACTAAGGTTCTAGAATCTTTGAAAGCAGCAATAACAAAATTACTGGCACCAGCTAGTACAAACTCGTTCTTAATTTCTTTCAGCAATTATAAAATTTCTTAGATATTTGACTATTTCCACTAGAATAGTGTAAAGTACCTAGTAACTTTAAATGGCTCCTCAAATAAGCAGCCTCAAGTCCAAAGATCAAGCAATATATATGAGTGTGAGGTTTTCCTCAACCCAACCAATGGTATCTCTGTGTGTGCTTCTGCTCAAAACTCATAGACAACTAGGGTAAAGTTTTGCTAGATATGACTCAATAATGACTGTAGTGTTTTTAAGAAACTTTCCCAGTCTGTGGTGGGAAGGGATCACAGTCCTATATGCTAGGCCAGAATGAATTTTGAACATTTTTTTGGCAATATAAGCATTTCATATGTAATTCTTACTAACAATATTCAATAACAAGTGCTTGCTCAGAATTAGGATTTGAAACTAAAGACTTTTAACATATGAAATGCAATAATATACCTTCTGAATGTCTCTGGAGCCATGGATGGAATGATAATACCTAGAAGCCTCAATCATTCAATAAATAACCAATTTAGTATCAAATGTTATACTTTTAGACTGTTTGTATTTAATATTTTGTAGTTAAAATACAAAACAATCATAATATACACATACAAAAATCATTGATACTGTGACAAATATCTCTAGTTCAGGATTACAAAAAACAAAACAACCTGAAAAACTTACTTCCATTGAATACTGTTTTTGCTTTTTTTCTCTATGAGTCCAATACCTTCCAGCACATTTGTAATATCGTAGATTCTTCTCTTCTGTCTGACAGCCAGCAAATCCGCAGCCTACAATATATTTATTAAAAAAATACATAATAAACAATCAACGCAGCTCACCAATTTCAAATCCAAGACCCCGCCAGTGGATCTTTGGAGCAGTCCAACAAATTTGGTCGTCAGCAAACCAAGAGATTTCTCAAAACGACTCTGGGAATTCTCTCCCATGATAAGTAAACTTTCAAGAACTAAATTTCAGACAACATATAACTTAAAAATCCAGATACACTTAAAAATTATACATTACAAAGCTAACCACTTTTAAAAATGGTGTAAATATGGAAATGTCAACGTGACAACTGAGTGATACATTTTTCTGTCATCTAGCAAATACAATTTTAAAGTGCGTTCCGCTACACACTGCGTAAGTCGTTTAAACACGTGGTGAGGATTTTTCATCCAAATTACGTCATAATTAGAAAGCACATGATAATTTAAGCTTGTATTGATTTGTCAATATCCGATCAAAAATGGCAGACCTTCATTCACAAGTATCCCATTTTGATTTCAACAGAATATAAGCCCATTTCTGAACGCATTCCTCTTACAAGAAAGGCCAGCGACACTGACATTCCACTTAACCTCACTTTTTTATTATATCTTTTATTTAATTTTATAAGATTAAAAGATTAGCATTTTTCAGAGATACCCTTTATATAAACCTAATGCACCGGCGCGTAGTGGTCACAGGCTTAGGTGTGGTGTCACCTGTGGGAACAGGCGTTTCAGAAGCCTGGCGGGCGATTGTTGCAGGACAGTCCGGTATAACAAAGTTGACTGGGGAAGAATACGCAACTCTACCATGCAAAGTAGCCGGTTTTGCCAAACGACAGGGTTCCCGAATAGACCTGACAACGTTTTTCAAGAAATCAGAGTTAAAGACCATGGCCCCAGCCACTGGTTTTGCTTTAATAGCAGCCCAAGAAGCAATAGATAATGCAAAACTAGCAGATCTACCTGAAGATGACAAACAGAACATTGGTGTAGCAGTTGGTATGGGAATGGTAGATTTAACAGATATCTGCAACACATATGAGAATTTAAAGAAGGGCTACCATCATGTTAGCCCATTTTTTGTCCCCAGGATCTTACCCAACATGGCTGCTGGTCAGATTAGCATCAAGTATGGTTTCAGGGGCCCTAACCACTCAGTATCCACAGCTTGTGCCACAGGAGCACATGCTATAGGTGACTCTTTTAGATTTATAAAGAATGGAGATGCTGATGCAATGGTGTGTGGTGGAACAGAAGCTTGCATTTCACCAATATCAATAGCAGGATTTTGTAGGCTCAGAGCATTATGTACCTCTTTCAATGATGAACCTGAGAAGGCATCCAGACCTTTTGATAAAAAAAGAGATGGGTTTGTGATGGGTGAAGGTAGTGCCATATTAGTGCTGGAAGAGCTCCATCATGCGTTAAAACGTAATGCTCCTATACATGCAGAGATTTTAGGGTATGGTTTATCTGGTGATGCTTCACACTTAACAGCACCAAAAGCTGATGGGACTGGAGCACTATTAGCTATGAAACGAGCAATATCAGATGCTAAAATAGATGTAAATGCAATCACATACATCAATGCACATGCTACATCAACTCCTTTAGGTGATAACATTGAGACCAAAGCCATAAAGTTACTAGTCAAAGATAATGTCAAAAATATAGCTGTATCATCAACCAAAGGAGCCCATGGCCACTTATTAGGAGCTGCAGGAAACCTAGAAGCTATTTTCACAGTGAAGGCAGTACAAGAAGGTGTTCTACCCCCCACGATAAACTTTGAATCATCTGAAGAAACTGACATCAACTTCATACCTGTACATAGTCAAGAATGGAAAAAATGTGATAGAAGGATAGCCTTAAAAAATGCATTTGGTTTTGGAGGGACTAACACTAGTTTATGCATAGCACAGTTCATAGCATAGTCTATCTAGGACACTTAAATTAGGTAAAAAACGCATCACATGTAGATTTAAGATGAGTAAAAGATTTTGCTGAAATGACTGGCATGTATATATGACAAAAGCATTTAGCTCACAATTTTTTGTTGAGTATTTTGGAAAATAATATATTTTCAGAAAATATATCATTAAACCTTTCTAGTGTTTTTTTCTCAATTCACTCCAAATTATGGAAAGTTGTAAGGCATCAAATTCCAAATAATTGAGGCCTGACCATGTATATAATTATCGCTTTTTACTATCCTGTCTGGCCAAGTTTGGGCTGAACTATACTTTAGCGCATATCGTAAATATATCATTTATTATTTTAAAATGAAAGATTAGGATGTAACTTGCACGAAAATATAATTTTTTCTTTAAGGAACCCTCTGCTTGCTATTTTATAAACTTCAGAGGTTGCATCTTGGGTGCTAATACTGTGGTATAGAATACTGCTTTATATAACCTGTTTTCTTCTTGTTTATAGGGTCACTGTCTTATTCTCTCCATCTAGTTGCGATGTTGCCAAATCCTGGATAGTAATATACCTTAAGTTGGTTTGTCAAATTCTTACTTATATACTAGCGCAAAAATGTGAAATCGGCACAGGATTGTCATGAAAATGCGATTTGGAGATGTGGCAGGCAGGTTTTACTGTACCAAATCCACTTCGTGCCCTACCATAGCATTATCTTCTCTTTTTTGAAGAATGCCTTATACCCTTCACAAAAGTACTTTGGTTGTTGTTTTTCCTATATTGTAGTTATAATCTATTTACTTTTTCTATGTATGTACTTGAAGAATTATTTAAAGTGAAGTTGATGTTATAAAATATACCTGATCAAAATTAAATATATGAGAAATATCTGAAAAAGTAGCTGTTGCAAATCACTAAATAATGAAAAGTTTTTTGATGATTTGATGAAATGATCGTTGATCTTTATTTAACTATAATGTTGGACGACGTTATGTTGGGTGGACCTGGCGAGGTGGTCCAAATCGACGTTGGGTATTTTTATATGCAATGACCGCTGGTGCCTTTTGTATTTTTTGTCACGCGAGCCGCTGGTGCATTTTCCACTGTTTAGACACATACTGTTCAAAATCTCATCTAGTTTTCGGTAAATATTGGGACATCCTTTCATAAAACAAGCCATTTACAATAAATTAAGACTTTTATTTTGCAAATAACCTAATTTCTAATTACGTATTTCTCCCAAAAAAGGTACAACTTGGCAACAATGGACATCATTTATTTTATCTGTCAAGAAATGAGCGTTATAAGATGGCCATTGGGAATTGTTTGTACTTTGTACTTTCAAATATTATAAACGCAAAAAGTTTGATCTCATTGAATATACGCGAAAAAAATTGTTACGGAATTTCAAGAAGACATTTAAAAATTACAAAACAACACCTCTGCACGGTTTACCAAGTAAATACCATCATTTACGTATGTATTTTGATCTGTTAGTCAAGCTAATAAGCTAATGTGGAATAATACGGCTGGTTTTGAACCTTTTTTTTTGCAAAAAATAACGAGTTTTTACAATTTCACATCTATTTTCCTTAGTACTATACAGTGTATGTTATATTCTTACAATTTAGACATTTAGTAGAAAAGCAAAAAAAGAATATAAAACAGTATTCTATTCTAGAGTATTACCACCAAAAATGCAACTTTCAAAGTTCTATAAAATAGCAAGCAGAGGGCTCCTTAAAGAAAGAATGATATTTTCGTAAAAGTTACATCCTTATCTTTCATTTTAAAGTAAGAAATGAAGTATTTGCGATATGCGCTAAAGTATAGACTTACCCAAGTTTGTATGTGTTTTTATGGCTTGTTAAACTTTTGGTAGGTTCTCTATTGCATAGAAAGAAAGCTACAAACTTGTTAATTTTTTGTTTTATATAAGTAAAGACTCTAAAATGTCAAAATTATTAAAGATGAGAGAGATAACACTGGTTAATGATTACTGGTTGTTTTAGTTATGACTTCTTAATACTAAAAACTGTGATTAATAAAGAATTCTATTTAACATTGTTTTTTATTATTGTAGTTGTTTTATTTTTACCTATTAATGAAGATAATGTGCGTCAAATGCAGCACCGAGGACGACTTTTGTATTTTAGGAGCTGACAAGCCTGACCGTAAGTGGGCAAGTCATATGAAGATATAAAAAGGCTTACATAAATTTTCAAAACTCTCGACTGGAAACGCGGATAACCAACATTTTGGCTCGTTTTACCTCGCACCAGTCCCAACCCCACGTTCATTTATGTTTTTCAGTTCTGTCAGTGTATATATACCCTATTTCACGAATATCTATCAAGTGTCAGCCGATTATCTAGTAAGATCTCAAAATTCCCCATATCGGAACAGGACACATAATTCTGACTGTTCCGGCAACGCCAGGTAGACAGAGCTGTATTTTAATCAAATTCAAGCGGATAACCAAATGGAAATGGTATTTACCATTTTGGGTTGGTATTTACCAATCCGTTCTTATAGTTATCAGTTTGGTTATAAGATCCGTGACGTCATGAATCAGCTGTTATATGTCATAGTTATCACCGCAAAACTGTGGTATTTACCCAACTCAAGAGTAGTTTTATATTTCTGGTTATTATTTGAAATGTGACAAGTTAGAATTTTGCCGGGTATTGGATATTGTTATTGTACTTCAGCTTCATTTTTGAGAAAAATGATACAGGCTGACTTCAGTTTTACCATAAAGTGGAGCACCTTATTAGTTATACTCATTACGGTTGTTGGGGACACTTTAAATGTAGTTCATATGCTTAACAACGTATCCTGTGTAGCCATATACCACAAGAATATTAAAATATGGCCATATAAACTCACTAAATGATATCCACCTGTATACAGTTTTGCTAATTTCTTTTTTCATCATTTCTGCTGAATCAATAAATGTTTTCTTTGACAAGCGGAAAAATTTAGAGAATTGAAAGTTATCATAGCTACAAAGCCATGGTTCCATCATTAAAAAAAAATCTGAAAAAAACATTTCTCCCATGCATATTATGAAAGGTTTCTTATTTAAACTTTCCATATACAGTTGTAGACGAAAAAGCACCGATTATTAAGTGATAAGAAAAATAATCAGAGATTATATACGCGCTTTTCTAAAATAAACAACTTGCAACAAAACCGCGGTTAAAACCAACGCGTTCAAGCGATTCGTGTAACTGACGTCATCAACCCGTGTGTCATCTTGAACCATATTATAACCACGGCACATAACACAGAAATTTTGGTTATTCGCTTGGATTTGATTTTTGTTATTAAAAACAAAACGCCACAAACAAGATTTACTAGATTTATACTCGATTCATTATTGCCAACGTAGCAGACTGACACAAAAATGTCGCTTGCTGATCAGCGGTTCACCTGAGTAGACGTCAAAGCGTGATGGATAGTCGTGAAATAGGGTATGTTTTGTGCTGTCACACTCTGTCACAGCTTGTGTCATCATTTCAGGTTAAGTTTGTGGGATTTAAATTCGACTTGGATTTTTCGTTGTGGGTTTTCTAAATATTGAGTGAACCTTTGGTATGTTGCATTGAACTAAATTATTAACATGTTACGCAAAATTGGACAGTTCATTTCATACAGACAATATTGCAAAACTACCCACAAAGAGCCTGTACTAGAGCTCCTGGATCGTACTGTTATCAGATTATCTGGTGAAGGAGTCGCTGATTACTTGCAAGGCCTAATTACAAACGATATAAGCCATTTATCAAAAAGTCCTACAGGCTCTTTATATGCTATGCTTCTGAACACCAAAGGAAGAGTGCTATATGACACAATTGTATACAAAACCTCAGACAAAGTTTTCCTAGTAGAATGTGAAAAATCAGCTGTAGATTCTGTTCTGAGACATTTAAAAATGTATAAAGTTAGACGAAAAATTGATATTGATAATTTGCAAGATGTGTATAATGTACATGCCTTAGTAAATACTGGAGGAAGCATAAAGAGTAATGTATCTGAAAAAGATGTACATATTTTTAAGGACCCTAGAGTACAAGAACTTGGATATCGAGTTATATCTGAAAACAGTATCAGTGTCAATGATTCCATATTCAAACTTTACAATTGCAGTGTTTCAGAGCAAAAAGGATTTTATAGATATCATCGCTATAATTTAGGTAAGTAACAAAAATCTAATAAGCAAAATACTCTGCTTGATTACTTCACAAGTGCAAGACAAATGTTACACCAGTATTTACTGTGGTCCATACCAAGTATTTAGTATTTGGGATAATACATTTAGATGATTTTTTTTGTTGACTCCACACATAAAACCACTTTCAAACTGAGTAGTAACAGCTATGGAATAAGGGTGTTGTCTAGGTATATAAATCCAGAATGTTTAAAAAATTGTATGTTGTACAAATTTCGAATTATTTTATGTTACCAAATAATACTGATAAAGAAAGCTCAGAATTGCAAAATTTTTAGTTATTTCAAAAAAGGACTAAAAGGTCAATGACACCTATCAAATCTATGGGTTTGATGCAAGTAAATTGTACTTTACATATTCAAATGTGTGCAGGAAATTACAAAAGAGCTTGTGGGTTTTAGTTTAGCTGGAACCATATAGTTTTTAATTTACAAATACCTTGTTTTAGTTTTTATATGGGTATGATGTAAGTTCAATATCTAGGTCATTTGTATTTATGTATTTGTGATTTTAGATTTGGAATAAATATTATTATTGTTATTAGATGGTTCCATCAATGTCACTTGATTTCTAAATAACATGATTACTGACATTCTGGCTACACAGTCATTAAATATCACATTCCATGGTAAATACTAATGGATCACAGTAAATACCATATTGGTCATGTGAAATTTCCCTTAAGGTTTACTTTATATTTTAGGTATTGGCGAAGGAACGCAAGATCACCCACCTGGTAACTCACTTCCACTAGAATGCAACTGTGACTATTTACATGGGATAAGTTTCCACAAAGGATGCTACATAGGCCAAGAATTAACAGCTAGAACTCACCATACAGGAGTTGTGAGAAAAAGGCTGATGCCACTTTGTTTTTCTAAAGTTCCATCTGAATACCCAAAAGAAGATGCAATAATACATGAAACAAAAAACCTTGGTAAACTAAGGGGTATAGAAGGTGATGTTGGACTAGGTCTGCTAAGGATTGAACAGACTTCGAAGCTTGAACAGATTCCTGTAGGAGATGGATTAGCAAAAGTTAAGAAGCCTCACTGGTGGCCAATAGAAGCTGTTAAAAATAAGGCATTGTTGCAAAGATAATGGTGATATATTTGCTCGTTCTATGATAGTTGTTTATGGAATTTTTCATAAGATTTAATAACTATTCTACTTGATATACATGTTGCTTGGAGAACAATCTCAACACCTTTTAGAAAGTATAGAATTAAAATTCACTTGGTGTTAAAAGAAATACTTATAACCACAAAGTACAAAGTTGGTATTAATTTTTTTTTCAGCACTAGACTCAAATTAGTCAACATAGCACAACTATGGATCAAGGATCTGAGAAGCCTGAGCAAAGTATAAAAGAGGAAGGAAATGCATATTTGAAGGAAGATGATCACAAAATTGAAGTTGATAGATATTTTAGTTGCAGTAACTGCTCTATAAACTTAAAATATGATTATTTTGGTCAAAACCCTACATATATGAAAAATTATCTATTGACAGAAGATTGTTATGTGATAGCAGATCCATTCTCCCCACCAAAACAAGGTGGTGCAATTATACTGGGTTCCCATTGCACTTTATGCAAAAAGAGTATATGTAAAGATGCAACATGTAGTATCTATTTTGATAGAACGTTTTGTATAACATGCGCCAAAAAGCAGATAAGTGTGTTCCCTGTAACAATACAAGATAAAATTAATAAAATTGTTCCATAAAAGTATGTATTTCTTTTATTGGCAAAATAATAATAGAATTTATTTTATTCTCAGTCTCAGCAAAGTCCAACTGTGGTGTTCCAATTAACTGAGGACCTAAATCATTACATACATATTTACAAACTTAATTCTCTGTGTTTGCTGACACTGGTTATACAAATGTGCAATTGTTTCTCAAATAGGGAAGTCTTATGTATGGGAGACTTAGTAACTTTACATTTCGTACATTGATGCTGTGTTCCATATGCCCAAATTTTATACTACTAAGTACTCGCTCAACTTTCGGAGTTTGAGAGGGGTCGTCACGTCAAGCCGGATTTTCTTTTAGAGAAATCGCCAATAGTGTGAATCGAAAAGAAGCTAGTTATTATGAGATGTGGTCGAGCGTGGTTCCAACAAGGCCGAAATCGACTACTTAGAGGTTCTGGACTTCAAAGACAGACTACAGAGCAACAGGGTCGTTATTTGAGGCAACTAGCACTTAGAGATCGATACAAAGGCAGTTTTCATACCATCCCCATCTTGTACTACTGGTATGGAGTAAGGAGAGAGAATGGAATATGAGCTCTTCTTCGCATACAACAAATAAACCTTACGAAAGCATTTTGGAAAAATTGTAACTTCCTTTCTGACACCATGTCCAAACAAGGGCCATATACTGCATCACCACAGTTTACGAAACTGTGACAGTGCTGTTTACATAGATTTTTATGCATAAACTTCCTACTATAAATTTCTTAATGCTATATCTTTCATTATGTATCTGACATGCTTTTCTAAAACTCAATTTGTTATCCATCCAAGTCCCAAATTTTTGACTTATTTAGGAGATTCTGTACTTGATCCATTAACTGTGACATTTAGATGCAAGTTTAAGTCATTACAATGTAGTCCAAAAATATTATCTGTGTCATATCAGAGTCTCAAGCCATGCGCTGTTGAATAGTTGATTATATTATTAAAACAATGTTGCAGCTTTTCTTGGCCAGAAGGTATGCTTGACCAATATAACTGAGGCATATTGTTAGATTTCACATCTATTAGCAGTGTTTACAGAAGCGAGGGGTTGGCTTGCCCGCCTTAACGTCACTACTAACCAAGTGGATCTAGTGTGACACCCCTATATAATTTCTAAAGGGCATTGCATGTAGCTTTCCGCTGTGGATCCTTCTATCTGAAACTGTAGCCTTGCCTGGTCTTCACAGTGACACAGACGATGCCCTGGGGTTTCGACATACTCGCTGCAGAAACGGCATGTAGCCTCTTCTGTCAGATCCAAAAGCTTGATATGTTTATTTAGACGACAGTGACCTGTCGAGAGACCCACTATGGCCCTTATGGCTTTCCTATTGAGTCCGAGTAGGTCCTCTGTAAAAGCAGGGCTTCGTTCTTTGATGAACTATTTTGCCTGCCTTTGCCCCAATTGGCTGTTCCACCATTTTAGGGACTTTTTCTTAGTACAAATTCCTAAGGACTGTTTGGTGCGTGTTCTCGTTACGCCGCAGAAAGGCTCTAGTCTTATAAGGCGATTAGCCGCACCGTGTCGGACTAGCTCATCCGTCTATTCATATCCTGGTACCCAAAGCAGAGTTACCTTGTTTCAGTTTCCCAGCTCTTTGAGAGAGTTCACGCAATCCCATACTAGTAGTGTACTGGTACTAGTAGTGTTGGCCGGAAGGAAATAACTCTTCTAATAAGAATTTTAAGTATTTGTGAGACGTACAAAATGAGACCACACGTAAAAAGATCCGAGTAATAGTAAAAAAAGTTATGGCTGAAAACCGAGCAAAATGTAGGTTTTGGCACAGAGTCAAGAGCGGAACTAGTGTTGTCATTGAAGTGACACCTGATTTAAGAAAGACTATGGTACAGATAGACACGTTGTTTATTGGTTGGAAAAACTTTCATTTCTGACCAACTACCAAGATCATAGTAAAAAAGTTTTTTCTTATCTGACAGTATCACAAAGCGACTCGGTGTTTACGTTGACTGGGAGCAGACGCGCGGAGTGGGAGCTGGAAAGGGGCGTGGCTGTACTACCCGGCCGTACCGTATCGCCGCAACAAGGTACAGCACTCACACGCTTCAGTCTCTCAGCAACCGTCGGCGCAGCGGAATGTCTACGCGTTCACAGTTCCGTACAGAGCTCTATTCGGTTTAGCTATTTTTTTTTCGATAGTGGTGTTCACTATAGGGTTCTCGATTGTATCTCAGTAGAGCTTTGGTGTTGTGACATGGGTGTCAAGTGTCTCCAAAGTGGAAATTACAGTATATTCAGATAAGAGATAGACCGGACATAAACAAGACCACGTGATCATCGAACGCTGTAACATTCGGCAGGGACGTATTAAGAGTCACGCAGTACATATTTTAGATAGTAGATGCTGCTTTGCGTAACTTTGTAGTAAATTAGCACAATTCGATGTGTATACGATTGGTGATGGATATAGGATCATGTGGGGGTGGGGTAAGAAATATATAATGATGTAAATATACATAAGGGTTTCAAAATTTTCGCTTCGATTTCCAGCTTCGGATGCCGCCTGATGTTTGGTGAAATACAGTCGAATATAATCTCAAAATGGCGTTTAAATTAGCCTAAATTAAAAATAATCGTATATCTCTTAAAATTGCTTTTAGAATATTGATTAGTATATTTTTTGATTTCTAGGTAAATATGTAACCAAATTAAAACGTTCAAAACGTAAAAAAATGTGCATGGTTGAACATTGTCAGAAAGTAGATTCTTGAATAGGTTTTGCCAAAATGGGTTCAAAAATGTCAATAATTAATTAAAAAATACAGTAGCTTTATAATTACTTATAACTTACCGAATTTGATGAACGACATCTTTTATTGGAAAGATGAGCTTGATGAGCTTTCATCATCGCTACTGCCGGAAGCACCGACGTCAATAATGAATGGCTCGACTTGTTCCTCTAAAATATTGTCCAGTTCCCACATTCTCTTTTCAACTTTGTCTTTCACGTGCTTAATACAGTTTTCCCATTTTTGCGCTGTTATTAATTCTAGTGCTTCTTTGAAAAGTCCTTTGAGGTCACAAAATTTAAAAGTTGTATTGTGCTTAGCTATATAATTTTTAACCTCTGCCCATATGAGCTCAATGGGATTGAGCTCGCAATGGTATGGAGGTAAACGGAGCACAGTTTTATTTTGACTTGCTGCCATTTCGTCAATGGCGTATTTTTGATATTCCGCCTTGTTTAATTTGAATTCTTAATAATTGTACTTTCAGCATTGCTTCTTCAAAGTTGATATTTTTCGAGCGGAGCCAATTTTGAACATCAACTTTCCTTGAAGCCGTTCTTGGGACCTTCTCCATTCTTCGAGAATGATAAGGCGCATTATCCAACACAATTACTGCGTTTTCCTCTAAGTTCGGTAAAATTTTTGAAAACCACTGTTCAAACGATTCGCCATTCATTTCCTCGCGGTAATCTCCAGTTTTCTTAGACTCAAAGCACCACAGACCGTCAACAACAAATCCATCCTCACTGCCAATATGGCAGATAATGAGCCTTTTCCCTTTACCTGGAAATCGAAGTACTAACTGGTGTAGATTTATTTCAAAAGCGAACCTTTTTCAAATGTTTTCATCACATTCAGCGAAAAAACATTGAGACATGAGTATCAGATTGCTATAATTGGGATTATTTAGTCATATTGAAAGAAAGAATATTGAACGTCGTATGATTACTCAGCGCTTCACAATTTAATTTAAAGTTATAAACCTTTAAAAAATGAATGACCAGGAACCTGAAATACGCGCAAATATTAATATTAACAAATTATAACTTTATAAAGCTTAAAGTATGAATTAAAATGATTAGAAATATTAGGAACGGTACACAATATAAAACTTAGTAACTTTTTTTAAGTTTATAATATTCGACATATTTTAAGATTATATTAAAAAATTATTGAAATATCGAAAACACATAAAAACATGGCTTAAAAAAGTTCTAACAAATGAAAATGACAATAAAACATCCACGCATTTTATCGAAAGTTATAAAAGTTTTGTTACTTGTAATATGTTTTATCTGCCCCCTGGAATTAATGTTTAGAACCTTGTTCCCAAGGTTTGAAAAACATCCGATTGTTGTCTATTACTCGTATTTACCTGCTGGATTTTCTAATCCGGTGGACAGTCCATCTAGAAAGGCCCTCCTGGATGAAGTTACAGAATCATCAACCCATACTTTACTTGTAGTGTGTCCTGCGTTTACCCACGTTTCATCAAGGTAATAAATCTTCCTGTTTTGATTCCTCCTCCATAGCACAATTTCTTCTCTATCCAGTAGTAAATTATTACGACCCCGTTTTTTCCATTTGAAATTTAAATGCTTCAGTAACGCATGGAAAGTTGATCGTTTGAAATTTGGCAACGTTGTATCTCCATTCACCTCCGGCAGTACTTTATCTATAGTAGGTATTTCATTCCTAAAGAAGAATTCATGCACTTTCCTCCTAATCGCATGCTTATCAGCTTCATCCAATGATTTAACAATACTTTTGCGATGTTTACTGGTCATTGGCTCAGAAAAGGTGTGATTTTTTTTGTATTGTCTTAACACATTAAACACTGATGCGCGACACACCCCAACTTTGTGAGAAACCTTCACAACAATTTCTTTGATGGTTGATGCCTCGTTCTCCTCGCGCTCGATCTTATATATATTCAAAATGACCTCTTTCATTTCTGCACTCAGGTGTCTTTTTTTAGAGCGTTTCCTAGGTGGACTACAGGAGTTTACAACTTCATCGGCAGTATCTGTACTACTGGGCATTTTGCGCAAGCAGTTGATAACAATAACAATCAATAACAAGGTATAACAATAACAACGACAAACTCAACAACTTAATAAGATAACAAATGAAAACGTCCAAAGAAATATCAAATTGCAATGATGCACACGACATACGTAACACGTCTGAACCTGAATGTGACTCTGCCTTGATACGACTGCTCTGCCGCTCGGCATAGGCATTTAATTGCGAATTGACCAATGAGGGCTCCTGTTTTACGTCGAGACGGCGGCGTTAGCGTGAAAATCACCCGAACCTTTTGTTTACATCCGGTCTATCTCTTATCTGAATATACTGTAGCATTTACAAAACATAATCTCTGTAATGCTGGTTGCCTTCTGTGATGTTGGTTGCACTCTGTAATGTTGGTTGCGATCCGCCACTGTGACTAGCTCTAGCATTTACAAAACATGCTCTGTAATATTGGTTGCAGTCCGCCACTATGACTAGCTCTAGCATTTACAAAACACATTATCTGTAATGCCGGTTGCGCTCTGCAATGTTGGTGGCGGTCCGCCACTGTGACCAGCTCTAGCATTTACAAAACATACTCTGTAATGCTGGTTGCGCTCTGTAATGTTGGTTGCAGTCCGCCACTGTGACTAGCTCTAGCATTTACAAAACACATTATCTGTAATGCCGGTTGCGCTCTGCAATGTTGGTGGCGGTCCGCCACTGTCACTAGCACTAGCATTTACAAAACATACTCTCTGTAATGCTGGTTGCCTTCTGTGATGTTGGTTACGCTCTCTAATGTTGGTTGCGGTCCGCCACTGTCACTAGCTCTAGCGTTTACAAAACATACGCTTTGTTATGTTGGTTGCAGTAAGGCATCAAGACACTGGTTTGATTCAGTGGATATCAGGATATAATATCACTGACGTCTGACCATTCTTATAATCCGATTTTTTGTGTCGCTAAAAACGACTAATAAAAAACCTCCAGCTCTGGCAGCTTGTTTTCTAGGTAAATCAGTTGCTTATATGTATTCTGAATTCGATGTCAAATCAGTTCTAGGATTCACTACCAATTTTTCATCCCAAATCGGATCCGAGGAAACTGTAGAATTTTTCACTATGTCGGGACCAAAAATGAAACATCATACACAGGATCGTATTTTCAGGAGGTCTTCTATGTTCTATGTAAGATTTTTTCCTCGGGGTTTAAAAAGATACGGGGTGATCAAGTTTAAAAATAAAAAACATTTTTTTCATATATCTTCAAAACCGTCAACTGAAAGTATTGTCCACATTAAAAAGTCTTTACTTAACATTAACGTCCACCAGTGGCGGAGATATAGGGGATTAGTAAAATTATGTTTCTAAATAAAAATAGTGCGCCACTGTTTTTACCTTCAATTTGTTACAAATAATTACTGTTGTTTTTTTTCCAGAGTGCACTGTTTTCGTAAAAATAAAAATAAAACAAATTAGATCATTCATGAAGAGCTGAATTACAATTAGCTTCAAAATGAAATAGGGGGCCTTGATGCCATCTTACGTTTCTTGGAAGATAGTTTGTCAAAGTTATGTGTTACACGGTTGTTATCGTTACTACTACCATTTTTTTTTTTTTTTGTAAAAATCAAGTCGAAGTCTCTTTTTTCCATTTTTGAGTGTTGTGAAATGGAATTTGGCAATAATGAGTAAGCAGATATTATTTTTGAATACGGGTTCTATCATGGAAGTGCTTTAGAGGCTTCTTGGCAGTATCAACGTAGATTTCCTAACAGACGCCAACCTACCCCAAAGGTTTTTACGCGTTCATTTATAAGACTTCTTCAATATGGAATTGCCAAACTTCCGGGGTTAGAGGCCACGCTGCCCGGCATACTGTTCAAGAGGTACAACGTGATTAAGCTGGCGTTGGATGATGCTAGTACAAGTACTAGGCCGACTGCAGCCCAGTTACCATGTTTCCAAAGTCTTGCGTGGAGAATTTTAAATCTGGAAACTTTTACATCGTCAAAATGTACAATGTCTGCAACCCGGCGACGAAGCGCAACGGCGAAATTTCTGTGAGTAGTTACTGCAAATACATAATCATAATGCAGATTTTATTGATTTGGTTTTGTGGTCAGATGAATCGCTTTTTACGAGGAGTGGAACCTTTAATTCTCATAATAAACATATCTCCGTTCTGTAAGAATCCACTCGATTCAACACAGGTTTTCTAGAAATATCTAGTGCGGCATTTTCAATAGCCAACTGTTTACGCACGTATTGCCATAACGTTTAAATGCAAACTCATACTTAGCTTTTCTAGAGAATTAAATAGAAAATGTGTTAGATGATGTTCCGTCAGCAACGAGAGTACAAATGTATCAGCAGGACGGTGCATCACCGCATGTTCGTCGTGACATAACCACATGGTTAGATAATCATTTTAGACTTGCAGAAACGGACCCGTACATTGGCCTGCGAGGTCTCCTGGTTTGAACCCACTGCATTTCTTTTTGTGGGGCGCTTTTAAACAACTAGTGTATGGTGAACAAATTAATACTGTTGATCAGTTACAAGAACGAATAGATAATGCGTTTCATCAAATTCAATCCGCAACAAATTTTGCGGAAAAGATACCGCACCTTTATCCTTCAGAATGGTAGTATTTTTGAACATTATTTATTGGAATAAAGCTTTATCTAATTCGTTTTTTTTATTTTACGAAAACAATGCACTCTAGGAAAAAACACAATAGTAATTCCTTGTAGCAAATTGAAGGTAAAGTTCGAGTTATTGCGCGTTTCGAAAAAAAAACAGTGGGGTACTGTTTTTATTTTGAAAAATAATGCTACTAATCCCCTGTATCTCCGCCACTGGTGCGCTTAATTTTAAGTAAGGACTTTTGAATGTGGACAATACTTAGGTAAATCCACATACCAAATTTTAGTTCATTCCAGTTAACGGTTTTGAAGGTATTAAAAAATGTTTTTTTATTTTTAAACTTCAACACCCCGTATCTTTTTAATGAAGCCTCAAGGAAAAAATGTTACATAGAAGACCCCTCTTATAATGCGGTCGTGTGTATGATGTTTCATTGTTGGTCACGACTTGTAAGTCACCCAAATTACCTTGTTATACAAAGCTTCGATAGCCATCGACAAGATAAATGGATTTTTAGCACCCAAAAGTTGCAAAAACTTACAGTTTTGCAATTTTTCGCAAAATAGATCTACATGTTCAACGGGATTAGATACATATGAAATAACTTTAGATTCGGCTTTGGCAACCCAAAATACGTACGATAGAGGTTATTTAAACCGCGCTTAAAGCATTTCAGTTTTTAGTGGTATAATGTCCTAAAATTGAAAAAATGAGTAAGTCGAGAATGTGAACTCAACCACAGTTTTTGTAATAATATTTTACAGTTAACTGCAGTTTTTTCCAAGCTCATATACAGTTATTCTCTCGGATGGGGTTGGCGACGCTGGTGGTCGGTGACCTGTCGGTGGCTGTGTTTGGGATCCGGTCATGTGAATTTAGTCTATATAGCGTAGCAGAATGAGCGGAATTTGTGTGGCAAGACCCTGGATACTGGCACTGACAGGTGACGACACCTGTACGAACAGGGCTTTACGAGAATAAAATATTCCATGCCTATTTCTTTTATGAAAAAAAAACAAAGTTTTACTATATAAATATATTTAATATGTATTTGATCTCAAATTACATGATCATTAATAGGAGAACTATGATTTTCATCCTCCCTACTATTTATTAGGGGAATATGGTTTTTGGTGACTGCATTCGCACTTGGGCGAGGGAAACCCCTAGAAAACCTCGGCCGTCACTGCTCAGAGTAATTGTATCAGGTGAAGAAAAATCAAGTCGTTCCACAATTCTGGGCTCATTTGGAAAATCGAAAATCTATAATCCACCAGCATGCCACAGTTATTTACCTGAAAAAAAAAGGTGGCATTGAAGTAACGGTTTCTACGAGTGTCAATTTTTAAAGTAAGAACCGTTTTGTATTCGAGTGGGAGAAATTTTATTTATGAATGTAAGTAGTATTACAATTTAAAATATGATCATTTTTTTCATTTTTAACACAGTCACCATAAACATTTACAAGTCAAGACCAGTTTTTGGTTATTGTAGCATCTGAAACTTTTATCCTGTGGTTTTCATGTCGACTATTTCCCTCGTCTTAATTTCTACCAAACACAAACGCGCAATTTTGAATAACAAATGGTTTCTAGATGGAAAAATTGTATGACAGCACCTGTCTGCGGTTTTTTCAAGTTTACCCGCGGCAAAACTTGTCACCAAAAATTGCAATATGATTGATTGATAACAAGTAATTATGGTCTCTTAAAACACCAGAAAACGACGATAAACAATTTTTCCGATTTTATTGCCAATACATTTTGTCAGCTATGTGTCTGATATGACTCATGAAATAATCTTCTCAAATACCATTCGGGCATCTAATTTTTTCCTGGCGTCTTCGACTCGGATTTTTGTTGCCAGCACTCATGCTTCTTGTTAAAATATTACTTAACAATATGTTTTTTCGATTTTTTTCGGAAAAATTTAGATGCCCTTATGATATTACTTATGATAATCCCCCAAATTTCTTTCGCCGATCGAAACCACATGTGTTGAAAAAAGTCTTTATTGTAAACGTTTCCGTAACAACTGTGACATTCTTCAGTACAATGACTTTGACGATATTTTTTTTATGTGTCTTCCAGGTGACACCTGTGTTTTTTCTTTTCATTTTTATATCCCTATACATTGTGTTACTCCAATAGTATGAAAGGTCCTTTAACATGCTAAGATTTTTAGATGGCACCCCGCATAACCAGCATAGCCCAGGACAGCGATAAGCGAGCATGAGTTTTGGTAAGAAACATTAGCGCATAAAGACCGACATCATTAGAAATGATCATTTTTTATATAAAATTGATGTGAAACTATAAAAAATCGTTTTTTGAAAGGGGTAGATTAAAAACTAGCCGTGTAATGAGCTAAAGTAACAGTTCAAAATACATACCGTAAATGATAGTACTTAGGCCCGTATCGTCAGTCGTCCCTACAATTGTAGGGCGCGTTTATGGCCTCCTTGATTGTCATAGTCCTTTCTCTCCTTCAAAAATTTCTAGATTACACTTGTCCCGTGTCAGCGTCAGCGCTCTCCTATTGTGAAGATATGTTTTCTTTTTAAATTGTCAAAGTTTTCTACTTCTCCGTGTTAGAACTCTATTTTGAGGTTATGTCACATACATCTATTTGCATCAAATTGTGCTTGCTTTTAAGTTATATCATGTTTTATCAGCCTGAAATTTCCTACAATTTGAAAAGAAAACATATCTTCACAATAGGAGAGCGCTGACGCTGACATGGGACAAGTGTAATCTAGAAATTTTTGAAGGAGAGAAAGGAGTATGACAATCAAGGAGGCCATAAAGGCGCCCTACAATTGTAGGGACGACTGACGATACGGGCCTTAGTAAACTGTGTAGAGGTGTTGCGTGGTGATTTTTCCATGCCTTGAAATTCCTTAACGATTATTTTCTCGTATCTCCAATGAGATCAAAGTTTTTGCGTTTATAAGAAATATTTGAAAGTAGAAACAATTCTCTTGGCCCTTTTTTAACGTTCATTTTTCCAACCAAACTGATGGACCATGAGTTTTTTATAGCGGCGTAGTGAGAGGCTGGCCAAGAGTGTCCGAGATTGAACGGTCACGCTACAGGATGCGCAATTGGTTCTTACTTTAAAAACGCCCCTCGTAGTTCACTGACATCTTTCTGATAAGATTTGCTGAAAGGTTTCTTTTATGGCACCGCTGCTTTTTGCAATAGGTTTCAGAAGTTAGATTTCCTGATAAGACTGACTTATCGGGTAAGACGTCAGTGAAACATGAAGAATAAGTAAGTTCAAGATTATGTAAAAATACCTGTCAATTATTTCGATTATCAATTTAGTTGATATCCATATAACTTTTTGCCTCGTCGTGTTAGTTTCCCAATTATTTCCTTTAATGCCTTCTGAATTTCAAAATTGGTATGGACAATTTTAGAAGCTTTTGTTTGGAACCTGACTGTATTTCGTAAAACTTCATCTATATATTGATTGTCGACCATACTACTATTATCCACAGATTTATCTACAAAGAGAGTTCACATAAGTATTCCCATTTAAATAACACCTCTGCTATTTTGAAACATCAAGTAGGTTGGCTCTGTATTTATTTATTTAAGTATAGTTTGAGTGGAATGCTTTTGGTCTTCTTAGGGTAAGCTTAGAAAATGCATCTCTAGGGCACGTTTCCAAGATCCTTAACAGTTCTATCTATTCTTCGGTGGTTCATGAAGTTCAAAACCAACCTTCTTGATGCCATACTCACCGATGCTTACCCTTTGAAAATTTTGATGTTCGTTTGACTGTTGTTTTCATGTATTGCAGCATACTATAAATCGGGTCTTTAAACATTGTTAACATGATCCTATTGTTCCTATTCAACATCCACCCGGCTCGTGTATGCCCAATAAAACATTCATCTAGCTATCCAGGCAGAACAGTTTTTGGAACAGTTCCCTGTACAAATCATTATCATCAGTATTCATTATCTCACGTTTATCACGCTCAGGAGTGTCTACAGCGTATGCAATTCCTAAGTTGGGGGTGTCCCCCTCCAAAGCTTGATGAAAATATTTGAGCTATGATTCTGAAAGAAAGCCTGGAAGTTTTTGAACAGCAGTTTTGTAAAATACGTAAAAATACGGAATGTATGATCACATTTTAGCTAAAAATAGACATGTTAGTAAAATATGTACCTAATAGAAATAGTAAATACTAAATGTAAGCTAAAATTAAAATTATAATATAGCATTATCATCATTATTTATCATTGTTCATCACCATTCCTGAAATACGAAACGTTCTTATTATTACCTAAAAGCTGAAACAAACTAAGAAAAACACTTGCGCTACGATTTTAAAAGTTAAATGATCATAGACAACAGACCTTTGAAATACGTAAAATTAAGAATTATGGTAACCCATTTTGCTTGTAAATATATTTTCTCAATAAAGGTGTTTTATCCAGATGTCGATAGTAAAATAAAAATAGTGAATACCAAATTTAACTAAAAAAAACGTATAATAATAAATATAGGTTTGGAGACCATTGTGGGGCCACAGCCTGCCTCATACCTGTAATGATCTACTACTAGCCTCTCTATCACTAAGTATTACCAGAAATACTACTATTACTACTACTACTACTACTACTACTACTACTACTACTACTACTACCACTACTACTACTACCTTCTTATCTGGTTACTTAGCATCTACGGACACACTTATGAAACCTGAACTTTTCACATATCTCATCTCTGAAAAACACTGGACGATTTTACGTCAGCCACGTGTTTTGCAAGTCATCTCTTCGGAAATGATTAACCACACGAAAATGCCTCTTTATTATTTCGATTATCATTTCAATTGATGTTCATTCTGCATGTACCAGCCTGTGATCATATTCAAGAGGGTGAGGAAGTATAATTTTTGGAATGTTAGCTTCCCAAATATGTCCCTGAATGAAAATCGTGAACATTTTTAGAAGCTTTTGCTTGTAACCTGGCTGTAAATATTTCGCAAAGCTTCATAAATATATGGATATTAGACCATACTACTATTATCCACAGGTTTATCTACAAAGAAAGTTCACATAAGTACTCCCATTTAAATAATACCCCTGCTTATTTTGAAACATCAAGTAGGTTGATTCTTTATTTCATGGATAGTAGCATAAATACGAGAATAGTTTGAGTGGAAATCTTTTAATCTTCTTAAGGTAAGTTTTGAAGATATATCTCTTGGGAACGATTCCAAGATCTTCAACCTGTCTAGTGGTTCGTCAAGTTTAAAACCAACCTCCTTGATCCCATACTCTCCAATGCTTACCCTGTAAAAATGCTAGATATTCGTTGATTGCTGTTTTCATGTATTGTAGCATACTACAAATCGTGACTTTAAACGATTTTCTATAGTTCCTATTCAATATATATCTTTATCCACCAACATTCATCCAGCTATCAAGGCAGAACATTATTTGCAACAGCTTTTTTATAACGCTCGGGAGTGTCTATAACCTGTGCCATTTCTGAAATGGGGAGTGTCCTCCCTCCAAAGCTTGATGAATATATTAGGGCTACGATTCTGGAAGGAAGCCTGAACGTTTTCGGACAACAATTCTGTAAAATATGTATAAATATGTCCAATCACTTCTTAGCTAAAAGTAGATATTCGTAAAATTTGTACCTAATAGAAATGGTAAATACCAAATGTAATTTAAAATTATAATATATCGTTATCATTAATATTTAGCATAGTTCATCACCATTCCTGAAATACGGAATGTCCTCACTCTCACCTAAAAGTTCAAAAAAACTAAGAAAAACCCTTGCGCTACGATTTTAAAGCATAAATAATCATAGACAACAGACCTATGAAATACACTATATTGATACTTAGCAGTATCCTTTTAAATTCTGGATCCCTGTTTAACAGCTCGGCCATGGACCCAGGGGAATTCCTTCCTTAACTTTCCCGCCTCTGCAACGGCATGATGAGGGGGCGGGGCAGCATGAAGAGTCGTCCGACGCATTCGTCAACCATGCTCGCTATTCGCATTAGGCCAAATTAGTCAGTAGCGACAAGCGAGATAGATCGATGAAGTCGATCGATCTTACAAGTCAAGATCCGGCTCCCCAAAGTCTTCTTCCAACCCCGAAAAAGACAATGGTTCCACAGACCAAAAAAGCCCTCCGCCCTTTCATCGCTTGTTGTGTCCAGCTATCCTAAGGTAGTGTAGAAACCGAAGGAACATTGAAGATGCCCCTTCCAATTCTATCCTGTCGATCATGGACCTACATTTTTTCGAAGCTATGTGCAATGCCCCGATAAATTCAAGACATTATCGACAGCCTACCGAGGATAAAGGGGCTAGTCAACCTCTTTCGCCAAATGTCTCAATTCATACTAACAAACTGGTTGTATAAGGGAGTTGAACCTTATACAGCCAGTAGGTTTATCAATCCCTCATCTCTCGCTCTGTTCGGCTGAAAACCCTACATCAATAAGAAAATCCTAAATGCACTTACATTTCAGCAAACTCCTGTTGTCCCTGTGCTCCTGCATGCTCTGCGCAAGAGCATACTATGTGTCTGAATCTCTCGATGTGCCCCTGCTTTTTCGCAGCAAGGCAAGGTGAAGAGTTGTATCTTTCTCTTGACGTGCCCCCACATCTCAGAGTGCCCAAAAAAATTCCCTAACATTTCCCTAGCTACTCGCTACTCCCGACCACTTGATTGGAGTTCTATGATGCAAACCTTTTTGTTGAAGCTTATGTCGTACATGACAATTCCGATTCTCTCTACTTTTAAAATTTGCAACCGTCATATTTTTCCTAACTTCTCAACTGAACTGACGCTTTTTCCTAGTGATCCCTAACTATCTAAGTGGGGCACCCTGTCTGAGGAGGGCAGTATGAGGAGTCGTCCGCCACATTTGTCAACCATGCTCGCTCTTCGCATTGGGCAAAATTAGTCAGTAGCGACAAGCGAGATAGATCGATGAAGTCGATCGATCTTACAAGTCAAGATCCGGCTCCCCAAAGTCTTCTTCCAACCCCGAAAAAGACAATGGTTCCACAGACCAAAAAAGCCCTCCGCCCTTTCATCGCTTGTTGTGTCCAGCTATCCTAAGGTAGTGTAGAAACCGAAGGAACATTGAAGACGCCCCTTCCAATTCTATCCTGTCGCTCATGGACCCAAATTTTCTCGGAGCTATGTGCAATGAACCGATAAATTCCAGACATAATCGACAGCCTACCGAGGATAAAGGGGCTAGTCAACCTCTTTCGCCAAATGTCTCAATTCACACTAACAAACTGGTTGTATAAGGGAGTTGAACCTTATACAGCCAGTAGGTTTATCAATCTCTCATCTCTCGCTCTGTTCGGCTGAAAACCCTACACCAATAAGAAAACCCTAAATGCACTTACATTTCAGCAAACTGCCCTAGTCCCTGGAACAAGTAGAAACAGCATGACTATACACTACCTTAATAAAGGTCTCACTCTCACACTTGAGCAGGAAAGTCGGATGGAACAATTCTAGCGAACGTTTCGGCATATGAATAGGTATAAAAGCTGTTTTATGTAAAATAATTTACACTCGTACTATTTTCGTAGTTTGTTTTCATTATGTTCTCTAATATTTGGTTACATAAACGAATATGAATAAGATAGTTCGCCATAACATATTGACACCTTTTATGAAAGCTGGTTCGCACGAACATGGAGAATACCCCTTGCTCGACTAGGCAGTCCGTGGAGGTACCAACGAAGAGCCACTGCCAATATCTGATCAAAATATGGCGAAAAATTGCCGTTAGACAATAAATAATCACCCTATTTTACCATATTTGTATCCTTGCCCTTACGGAGGATTTTTGCAAATGAAAAATTTCCAAACATTTCAGAAACCACTATCTTGCGGCAACCTTATAGTAAGCTATATTTTTATTGTTTTACAGTGTAAATTATAAATACAGGTGGTTCCGTAAGGAAAAAAATACTTTTGGGTTTTTTAAAGCTTAGTTTTTACTATGTACTCTTTTTTTACCACCCTATTCGCGTGACAAAAACACAAATATAATAACATTGAAGTGTTGCGATACGTTACGTTTTCAAAATTTTTATTTGCCATGTACCTTCGAAACGAAGGCGTTTTTCGAAAACGATTTAAGGACAAAGCAACCTTTGAATAGACTGAAGAATTAGTCCTTGATTTTTTAGTGAACATATTGCCAGAGAAAGAAAATATTTCCTCTCAGTGAATTTAAGAGTGATGGGTAATATTGTCAGAATTTTTGAAAATAAAGATCTGGAATTTTGGGCTTGCTGCCAACAATGGACAACGGCACAACTATTATACAAAAAACAAAAAAAAACGTCAAAAAACCCGACGAAATGTCATATTGGAGACTAGGTAGTTTTTAGTGTGTAAATAGTTGATTCCACGTTTGTTTGCTATTCGTCTAATCATATCAGACGAAAATTCCCATGGTTTGCGA